ATTTCTATTTATACTATATTCTAGATCATTTTAATTCTACACTGAACTATCATTTTTAAATCACGGCTCCCTTGTAAAACAAATGTGATAATTTGAAGGAGTCCCGTGTATAAATAAAGAACAGTTCAGTTCAGTTCAACAGCACCATTAGCATCAGCAGCAAAAGTAAGAAAAACTAACAAAAAGGGACCCACTGTTTTTCTTTTTTTTTTTTTGAAAGTATGTTTTGAAGGACAACTGAATATGAGTAGTCACTAGTTGGCGTTTTTGTAGAAGATTTTTTTTTGATTTTTATGTAAACATGTAAACATGAGAGTGTGAAGAGTATTCATACACACTTGATGTACTGAAAATATAGCACTTCGCATAATTGTCCGGCAAACGGCATGGTCGTGGTACGAAAACTACTAACTCAATAATTGAATACTTATTTGCGCATGTTCCATATGGAGATATTTACATGCGCATTACAGAATATTACGCTAAAAATAACTTCATCACATCCTGGGAACCAATTACAGCGCGCGAGATCACTGCTGATCCAATCAAAATGCTCGCACACAACACCGTYACGGTCACAGTAACAAGTACACGTTTTTAGCGTTATTTTTTCACAGTCATACGAAATTTACTATAAACAGAAGATTCGCAAGATTCTCGGTACTTCCCGTTTAGATCCCTCGGGACGGGTAAAACAGCTTTTTGCGTGCCCCGTTCAGCAATAAAGCACTTAGAAAGCGCCGCAAGTACTCAAGAAAACGGGAAAAATCTGTTTCATCAGTTTTATTATATAGTTTCTAATTTTATTTCGGTATTGAATGTATTTACGCAAAAAGAGAGGCGGCCGAAGATTCTAGCAGCACTTTGCGAGCGGATGGCGTCAGCACTGTGCTCTGTGCCGTTCACTATTAAAGMACAGTTTTCGGCCAATCACTGCGCACGTATTATCTTAATAATACATACCTCTTCCGTAGTTTCCATGAGACTCAAATACACAATGTYCCCACAAGTACACGATGATTTGACCTGAGCTGCTAGAGTACGTAGCCCGACCAGAACTAATCGACGAAGGAGTTCCATCAGCAAGAAATCAACCAGGCGAATAAAACACGTTATACGACGCAGTATGGTTCTCCATTGTGACATCTGAGTAAAGCTGGGCTTGCCGTCTTTTCCTGTCTCTTTATCTGAAGAAGAAAAACACATTTAAAATATTTCAACTATTTTATTAACACCCTTCCCATGGACGAAACAATAAACTAGTTTTTTATTGAAATTTCATTTAGGCGCGAGAACAATTTTCTCTGCAACTTTCTCGCAACGGCGTTGCTAGACTTACCTTCAAGTCGACCTTTCTTGTGTACCGAGGATTTTTTTTTTCTTTTTTTTTTTTTTTTTGCGAACGAGCGACGTCGTACCCGAGTCAAGATACACAAATGGCGGCGAAAATTGTGGAAATCCATTACAACAAAAGTTACTAGAGTGTTTACACGGTGCAACGGAGTCTCAATCTTTGCCAAAAAGAGAAACGAATTCTACTATTCGCAACAATGTCTGTAATTGCAGCGGCAACCTTAGTCTCCCTCGCATCCGTTTTTAGTGTCGGTCGTCACCGACACTAAAAACGGATGCGAGGGAGACTACGGCAACCTCAGCGAAATCCGAAAAAATGTTGCAAGACAAGCGAGCTATCACTTTTCATAAACATTTTAACTTTGACAGAGAACAAAGCAAGAGAACGCGCACACAACACACATACCTTTAGGTTGGTCCTTTATTTCTTTCAGAGTCTTGATGACGTTGCGTTCTTGGACGGCTTGAGCTCGTTCTGGGTGAATCCAGTCTGCAAGACCTTCCATTTCTGCAACTTTCTGTCGACATAAAAATCAAAACGATTTCAATACTAAAATTATGAAAAAGGGTGCGAAATGTTCTTATCATTGGATTAACTTATAATGGATGTCATTCGATGATTTTTCTCCAAGTTTTCCAGTTTTCCTTCCTACACAAAATCCAACGCTAAATTCCGATTCACTCTATCTGTGAGTTAGCCATGCCCTGCCTTAGATCGGCCCAGAGGTTGTTTCAGGGTTCTATCTGTGAGTTAGCCATGCCCTGACTTAGATCGGCCCGGAGGTTTTTGAGGCTTTCTTTAAAAAAATGAGGTATATGCATGGTTTTGAATAAAAAAACAAGGCAAATAAATAAGAGCTTGCTTGATACGAACCTCACAGACATGTTTCACAATTCCCACTACATTTTTCCTTAGCGCCAACAGTTTCTCCCTTGCTTTATCCATATGTTCCTCCTGTGTCTTGCAAAACTCCTCCAATGTGTATGTTACCGCAGGTTGTACACATAGTAAAGAGATAGCATCATCACCTGTTCCTATCCCTGTCAAGCTACTGGATGCCTTCTCACAYAACTCTCTCACATCAAGAATGCCCTTCTGGATAATTTCATTGTTKGTGAACAGAACTTTTCCAACCTCGAGTTTGCTTCCTTTGTTCTTCGTGAATCGGACATTCACCTTCCAGCAGGTGAAGCCTTTCCACATCCTACAATAGACAGAAAGRAAATACAACGATGAGAAAGTGGATAAGAAGACGAAAGGAAAATGAAGAAGCAAGAACAAGAGTCGGACTAAAAAGAGAAAGAAAAGGGAGAAGTACGAAGGACAAGAATGAAGTAGAGAATGTTCAAACTAAACATATGATATTTTACATCAATATTCAAAATTGTGCGACCTACAGCTGTACACGGCTCCAGACATCTTTAGTTTTGGCTTGGGTCTATCAAAGTTAGCACAGATTGCATCAAAAGAAGCCAAAACTCCAGTGTTTGGAGTCGTTTAGGTTACATAATTATTTGGAAATGGGTGTAAAATGCTCAAGAACATAGCACAAAAAAGTGCAAACCTGAATTGTCTAAAAGTTGGTATATCTTTGATCCTGCTGAAGACTCGTCTTTCATACAGCCATCTTTCCATTAGAGTCAATTCTGTGCTCTGACCATCACTCACCTGAAAAAGTGCAAATAAAAAAAAAACTTATATCTGTATGTTTCGAGCATTTGCAGAAGAGAGGGGAGGGGAGAGAGAGAACATTGTTCCAAATTTTTAATCCCTTCAAGGTCGTGAACTGCGGAGAGTCGTGGGGACCACGTGAACATTTTACAAATTACTAAGCTATTAATGGAAGTTTAAATGTGAGAAATGTTTTGCTCAGTTACAATGTACTYGAGCATTCTCTGATCGTTTACCCTTAAAAACCCTGCAATACTTCTTAATGGAAAGAATAAAACATTTTGGAATCCCAAACACTATGTGAAAACCCATCAAAATTACCCTTGTACTGCCCATAATACTTCTTAGAGGGAGATATACAGTACCCAATAGCAACACATCTATCACCCAATAGCTATTGATGGACCTAAATGGCTATTAATGTCCCCTMCTCTTACCTGAGTGACAGCAGAAGAAGTAACAGTAAAATACAYGGGGTGAGCCTTGGCCTCTGATGATGTTACACACTCAAGGTCATAAGGATTGTATCTAGCGGCCCTCACACCTCTATTCTTAGGTAGACAGTAGAGAAATCTTCCATCGTCTTTCTTTATGTACAATCTAAGAAGGTTGTTTTCATCATTGTCGATATCTATGCCACTAGCTATTGCATCAAGGTCTGTACTCATGTTCAGTCTATGGCGTAGTTTCTTGATTACATCCATGATGTCAAGACCAAGAAAGCTATCATCATCTGGAAGCCCCAAAYGCTTAGGTGGTGCTGGTTTATAGTACTTCAAATCCTTTTCTGGCTTTAACACACTTGTTTGTGATAAGAATGATGATGATGATGATAATGAGTTATGTGATCCTGGTCTACTGTTCTTSATGTGAACAGAGAATTCGGACAAAATATCTACATCTTTAGTTGTGTTCAGTGAAGACAATGACGGAGCCTGCAATACAAGCATCAAGGCAAAACATAAAGGTTTATCTTGGTAAATTATGATAAAGAGTTCCATTTGCTTGGAGGATGTCATCATTCACACATATTCCCATACTCCCAATGATTTGCTTCCAAAGTACAGTAATATGGGCAATCTTGTGGGATGCATCATGTGTTGCATTGCAAATTGCTGAGCGAATGCTGCTTGCATTACAACTCCAAGGAAAACAAATTTCTTAGAGATGGCTTCCTACAACTGGGCCCTGTAGCATATGAAACAAACACAAAAATCATACAGTACCTTTTCCTCCTGTTGCATTCCAACCATTTCCTGCATTGCTCCTGGGATTAGTCCAGCATCTGCAGTCCCTAAATCCTCCCTATCTACTGGCCCCTTGTTATCTAGTACCTCTGGTCTCTTTTTCTTGATAGGAGGCACCACCATGTGGTGTCCCATTTCCATCTTCATGGGTTCTTTACCAGGAGATGATTGCAATGCTTCAGCTTTTTTTGCTTGGATTCTCTTAAAGTCCCTCCTGTACATYGTGGTTCTAAAAGCCCCCATGTTTGGTCTTGGTGCCCCAGTAGGAGGGTGGGGAGTAACCTATAGAATAAACCAGACAGAAATAATAAACATATTGATTTTACTTTACAACATTCATAAGCTTAAAATTTTTTTTCAAATATTGTGGTGCATGGTGTGTTGATGCACCACGGCTACCCGATAATAATAATAATAATAATAAATCACTTTATTTAAGTGTCTAGTCGTTCTAGCACTTTCGCACTATTTGGGGGCACTTTTCACTCACACGCACTACCACTACATTTAATATTCTATGCACACAACGCTCAACTCACATGTTGATTTTTACGGAAGGAGGAAACCAGAGAACCTGGAGAAAACCCTCATAGCATAGGAGAGAACAACACATCAAACAAACTCAATTCATGTGGCGACCGCAGGGCTCGAACCAGCGACCCGACCTGTTGGACTCACAGCAGTGAAAGACGATGCGTTAGCCGCAAACGCCACCCATGCTACCCACTGATTAACTTAATCACTAATGTTAGTCAATCAAAGAGCATAAAAAGTTGTTTATACAAATCCAAACCCTATCTTTACAAATCAAAGAAACAACAAACTTAGACACTTCCTATTTTTCAAAAGAAAGATCTCAGAATGACTAATGTTAACACGTATCGGCAAGTGTAAGAAATCTKTTTATAACCATGTTTTGTAGGCTCAAAAAACTGTTTCCTTCAGGTGTGATTACACAGAGCAATTTTCTCTGCAACTAGTCTCCCAACAGCATTGTGACACAAGTTGCAAGAGTGTTTACACAGTACAATTAATGGAGATGCAATCACTGCCAAAAGTAGARGCCAATTCTACTTTCCACAAATATTGCTGCAACTTGTCTTGCAACATTTTTTCACATTGCGAYGTAGGTTACACACTGCAGTGCTCCATGAAAAATTGCTCTGTGTAATCGCACRATTAGGCTAGACCAACGTTCACTAAAAATTTGATTGCACAAATGTATATACTGTTTACAGTAGTGTACATGTACTTTAGACCAACATTAAAATCGTGGCATTTGAAATATACCATAAGTTGTAACACATGTTACTTTTTTCACTTGTAAATTATTCATTTTTAAAACTTAAAAAAAACTTTTTGAATGAATTACTTTCAGAAGCTCTAGGGCCAAAAATAGAAAGTTAAGTTAAATGCAATTACAAGCATCTGGTTTTGTTTATTTGTTTCCTCTACTTGTTTATTTGTTTCCTCCAAAAATAATATACTTGAGTTTTTACGTCAATAAATAATAACTAACCTCCTATGTGAATGGTACTGATATAATTTTTTTTCAAGAAGATCAACACTATAAAATACTCTAAGAATTCCTGAAGATTTTKCTTAATATATTAAACTAAATCATTGGTGGCAGTTTTCTTGTATATTTAAGTTCGTAAAAAATCTTGTTTCCAAGAAAAAGTTCTTAGTACGATATGGATAATTTTAACTAAAGAAATCAAATTTGAAAGTCAAAAATCAGTTGACTGCGTTCAGCCATCTTGTTGCCATAGAGCTGGAAACGCATACTCACATTGCCACCAGAAGGACGCAAAATAGCTCTAAAAACCTCTGAATTCTCAGGTCTGTCGTACAACCGAGACTTTAAAGACTCAATGACTTCTTCCCCATTAGAACTGTCTATATGAATCCTCTTATTTGGTGTTATTAAATCCCGTTTTGGATATTTTTTTTGACGGCTTTCAAGTCTACTCGCAGGGGAACGACCACAGTCCAACAAAGTCATGGAATTGTGAGGAACAATTGGATTCTCTTCGTCGCCGTCACCATCCATGGCTCTTCGTTTATCCATACTCCATTATTGATCCTTTCACTGTTATTTAAATGTAAAAAACTAGAGATTTTTTTGCCGTTTTTTCAGGCCGGGAAGGATTCTGTTTACGTTTACCAAGTGCATAGCGAGCGGACCATCAATAATACGAATGCTCTGATTGGTTCATTTTTATCCAGGCCGCCATTACAATATAAAATATAACGGAGTTTCTGATTGACTAATTCTTTAGAATAGAATCGCGTATGTATTTTTCTCTTTTCTTTCTTTCTTTCTTTCTTTTTTTTCTTCTTTTTTTCCAAAGTAATTTTTTCATTTTTAGATCCTTTTGTTCTTGAAAATGATGACTTTTAAAAATAAACACTCTTATAAAAAGAAACAGGAAAAAGTGGCTATATCACAAGTCCATATTTATTTTTACATGCGTAAAGTCATGCAATCTTGAAAGTATTTTGGTCAACTCAGCACTATACCTAAAACTAAAACAAAAAACTAGCAGTTATTATCTTAGCATGTAAATCAGCTTTCGATTTGATTCGATTCTGAGAAAAAACAATATTTCGAAAATGAAAGTGAAGCTATACATTTTTCATTAACTTTATTTTTTTACTACTACGAAGACCGTAAAGGGGTGTTCATGGATTTTATTTTTCGTCCTTATTGAATAAGTTTTTGACATCCTGTTACATTCTGAATAAGTGCTGTATCATATGGGGAAACCCAAGGAAAAAAATACCTATTAATATTTTTGGATTATTTACGCGGCAAATGAAGCTCATCAGTGATTATACTTAAACCGGGGATTCCCCTAGCTCTTGTGGCGCATTTCAAATGACCTCATCATTCTTCGATGCATGTAGAACTCGGCAGTCAACAAAGATATCCATGTAACTCCTCAAGGTAAAACCATTGGTTATTTTAACTTATCCTTAGCTTTTTCCAGAACAATTTGTTTGTTTACTTAATGAATTTCGTTTCTTGGGAGTTTGTTTCAAGGTGAAAGCATTTAAGTGCATAATATTCGCTTCATCTGAACAACAAAATATAGAAGGCTATTGCTCGAATGAGCTATTTGATTAATCAGCATTTTACAAAGACAGAACAAGTATAGTCATGTTCCTTGATATAATTTGAATATGTATTACCTATTTTTTGGTTCAGAATTCGCGATATGAACGACCATGAACATGAATTTTTGGAAGACGACAAAACCCCATCGACTATTGAAGAACTCAAGCGAAGGAAAGCCCAGCTTGAAAATGAAAATTCTGATCTCTCTATGAAGCTTCAGGAGGGTCAAAGACTTAAAACAAAACTCCAAGAAAGTCGAAAAGATGGTAAGAAGCTAGTTCATAATCGAGAAAAGCTGAAAAATCTTAAAAGCGAGCGTCAGGAAACTTCCCACAACGTGGTAGGCGGATATCAAAAGGTACCACCAGCAAGTTATCATTTTTTATTTTTATTTAGATATTTATATTTTTATGCTTGTTTGCCTTGCTGCTTGGAAGGTTGGTTACTATTTCCTTAAACTTAGAAGTTTTTATTAAGATCATGAGAGATGGACTAAAGGTCTTTTTGAAATATCACTCCTCTAATAGAAGTACGACAGCTGAACTGCTTTGTTACGTGACACTCTCGCCCTCTTTTGTGACTTATAATACAGGACAAAGTCACGACATGCAGAAACCTAATGCTAAAAGTATTCATATTGCCTCACTCTATTTATATACATGCTATAACTAGTTTGAACCCAATATCGATCTGCAAGTTTCTACCCGCCAACATTTGTCATTAAAGCGGTTCCATTTTAGGTCTGATAGTAGCACAGTACTTTACCAGCTGTCTTCATGAAGGATAGAAGAGATCAGAAAGAAAGCCTTATACGGCCACATGTAAAGTTTTCTAGAGTTTTACCGACATACCGACAATAGAAGCTGAAGCTGATGTCCTAATTGGATGCCAAAAATGCTCATGCCAAAAAATGAATGTTCCAGAACACTCTGATATAGAGCCAAAATTCCCTCCTTGTACGTTTAATTTAACGAATTCTGCCCGAAATGGCCTGAATTAACTTCGGATTTATCATCGATGTTTTAGGTATTGTTTTCCTATATCAGTTTCGATGGAAATATATAGTTAAGGCCCTCGCTTGCAAAAACGTGTGCTTCGTTTGGTACCACGTACCGTACCCGCGCCCGGGCATGATGGACACGAGTCGGTCTTGCAATTGGGTCGCGTTTTGAAGTGTTTATGCTAGAAAAGTCGCGTTTTTCAAAAGTTTGAAATTTCATTTTCATTTTTTAAGCGGAAAATAAAGCGCCATAATGATCACTGAAACTTTATTCCTTGGTCATCTTTTACGCTGTCTTATAAGCTTTCATACTTTCGAAAGAATTTATAAACTATCTAAAAATTGGTCACAAGTTTATGTTACAAGATTATTGGGAATTTAGTTCATAAATCTAAGGTTAGCCTAACACCGTCCTAATACGTTCGCGGACCTACGAAAATGTAACATTCTATATTCGAGCAGTTTTTACTGCGTTGGTGTTTCTGAATAAAACAGTAGCAACTCGTAGATAAATTGGATCACCGTAAAAAGCTTTGTGAAAAAGTAGATTACAAAAGTAGATTAAAAACTAGTGAGAATTTATTGTTAACTTTCAGTTTCAAGTTTCTAAAAGTTTTCGGATAAGTTTATGATCAAGTCAAGGGTTTTCGGGGGATTTCTGTTTTTTAAAATACCAATCATGAGGAAGTAGATTCAAAGTGACGTTGGCCGTTTATTTCCGCGTGGTAACCGCCGCTTTTGACATAGGTCAACAAAAGCTAAGATCTCTATGTTGACTTGAAATGTTCTCGGCAACAATGAGCTGGATTATTTTCAATCATTGAAAAATMTAACTACAGTTTTTATAACTCCTTGTGTTACGGAAGAGCTTCTTTCTCCCGCGTGAGTAATCTGCCAATGTGCTGCAGAGTTGAACAGTGTTGTCTCTGAGTTGTCGATTCAGTCCCCTGACTTTCGAGAATTTTTACCATCTTCTGCTGGTTTGCGCTCGCTGTTTAAAATAAAAAGTGCTGCAACACCCCCCTTCCTCCCTCCCCCCCNCCCTCCCCCCCAGGCGGGACACCAGGGTAAAAGTATCGGGTATGCTCGTCGTATCTCTTAGGGGTGAAAATCAGCGGTTTGATATCTTTTAGGGTGTTAAAAAAATTACAACATATCTTGGTATCTTTTATTAAGGTATCTCCGAGGGGTTAAAAATCGTCCAATCACGCCCTTTTTAAAAGAATTCCGGTATCTTTTAGGGGTATTTTTGAAATTTTCCGCCGACGAGCATACCGGATACTTTTACAACGGAGTCCCCTCCCCCCCCCTCCCCCCGGGTGCAACGATTGCCTTTCACCTCTGGGGTCTAGAGCTAGATTCCTGGACGTCTTGCAGCATCATAAAAGAGTGAAAGTGTGTTAGCTCTCTTGAATTCTTCATTTGAGGGTTTGTTTCCGTAATTACAATAATAATAATAATAATACAACACACGCCTACATTGGCGTATGCAGTACTTAACATCACTCGTGCCCCTGTCATCATGGCCATAATAGGGCAGCGCACTGATTCTAAACATAGCTTAAAGATTCGGACAAACATTGCATTCTGTTTAACCGCTACGAGGATTATACGCGAACCGATTTTATTATTTTTACTTAAAGTTACAATAATGACCCATGTAAACTAAGATCAACTGCGATCGGCTGTGAAAATTATCTGCTGAAAGTAAACTTGTAAGTTTGTTTGTCCGAATTTCGCCTTTGTCTTCGGTTTTTGTTTTTTTTGGTTGTTTTTTTTTGTTGTTGTTGTTGTTTTTGACGTCACGGTTGCGCTGCGCTATTCGTTCTTATGAGTTTGATTTACCAACAGAAAGTCGAAGATGAGAGTGAAGCTACCGCGAGAGACGAACCACCAACGGACACGGCCTACAAAGAAGAACACCATTCTATCACTGCACCCCTGATAACAGAAATACACGCTTTGAAACTGGAGAACTCTATGCTAGTAAAGGGAAAAAGGAAAGTCGAAGAACAGAGAGATTCTGTGGTGCAGGAACTTGCTGCGTTGAATACAAAGCACGATAAGCTTCTTGGTGTTTGTAACAGGTTAGTTAGCATACCATGGTACGCAAACTTAATACACCCATTTTCATGAGTACGTGACCACAACCCAGGACGTCTTTGTTTTTGCCTTCCGTCAATAGTCCCCTTCACAGTTCCCTGCGCCATCTTGAAAGGTAGCCGTGCCTGTGCATCGACGCGATACGAACGGTGAGCTTGCAATGATAGAGAYCTTTTTTAACACCTTGAACAATTATTCACATGTCTCTATCATTGCAAGCTCACCGTTCGTCTCGCTTCGATGCAAAGGCACGGCTATCTTTCAAGATGGCGCAGGGAACTGTGAAGGGGACTATTAGAAAAATACTACCAGGTGATTTCTTTTNAACATTTTGTTCGTAGCTCACTGTTTCCTAGTTCCAGGTTTACAGCTCCATGAACAACCACTTYTACTCGAAAATAAAGAAATAAAACTCATCATTGGAAAGATTCTCCAAATATCTTTTAGAAATAGAATAAATTTCGTCGTTGTTGGTGGAAATTATTTCATTTTGACGAGAGAAAATAAATAATACTTGCTRATTATCGCTGTGACGAACAATGCATTGCGTGCCTCGATTCCAAATCACCCTGGCCTAATTCAGCCCGTTGGAAATTTGATTAACAGAAGCGAAAAACTAAGGCAACTTGTATTATAGCATAATGATGATGATCTATAGGTAAATTATTGCTTATCCAATCAGAATGCTTGGGTTCGGCATCGTCGTATCCAATCAGAATGCTTGGGTTCGGCATCGTCGATCGCGGAAGGATACGTCCGTAATGCACGTTTCTATGGTCATCAACATTTGCATCGCGCATGATACAGCGCGCCATTCCGAGGCAGAAGAAAAGACTTGGTCGAATTAGCATTGAAGTAAATTGTGTGACTATCTTAGGGACAAAAGAGACGCCATCATAGAAATATGTTCCCTAAAACAGGCCCACGATGCACTGCACTTCTAACTTGAATGAAATTCTTCTTATGTGGAGTCCATTTTTATTTATAATCAATTCAAAAATATATTCGATTTTGTTGTTGTAGACTAGAGTCCGAAATTCACCGTCTAAGTTCTTTGGTTGTAAAGTCTAAAAGTCAGACATCAGAGCAGGAAGAAGGCATCGAAATTCTGAAAGAACAAGTGAGTTTAACTCCCCTGTAGCTCTCTCTCTCTCTCTCTCTCTCTCTCTCTCTCTCTCTCTCTCTTTTTACTTCTCTGGGTTTTGAAAAAGTAAAATTGGGAAGCACGGGTAGCGTAATGGTGAGAGCACTCGCCTCTCATTAACGTGACTCGGGTTCAGTCCTGCCAGGCTCGTTGTCGTATGAGTAGAGTTGTTTGTTGGTTCTCTCCTGTGCTTTGAGGGGTTTTCCGTGTTCATCGGTTTTCCTACCTCCGCAAAAATCAACTTCTGAATTTCAAATTGAATTTCAGTGRATGAAGAGCCACTCTGTGGAAATGCCACTGCTAAATATTATTTATCACGTCTATTCCATTACCTAACATAAATCATACGAAATTCCCCAGTCCCTAGTGATGAGCCTTGGGGAAGGTTTCATGATGATGTATGCTTGTAATAAGGAGCTTTGATAGTCTGGGGGGGAGGGGGGGGGTAGAGGGCGCACCTTCGAGCGTTTTATACATGAGCCCTTGGCTCGGGTGATTTTTGGCCAACCACTCCCAACATGCTCAAAGTAAAATAAACTGACTACCCCTACCTTGTTTTAACAATTCAATTTCTTTATCTCCTTCTCAGCTTCGATGTTACCAGGAAGACATAAAGAGCCTACAAGGTGAACTACAATCCACTAAGCGCTCCAACGAACAAATGAAAACGGAACTCAACGAAGCACGCTTGGTCATCCGGGACATGAGAAGGCAACCCCCTAGCGTTCAGGTATAGCCTCGTAACCATAGTTACTCTTACTATTCTCTCGCATGCGTAAGCATGAATTCACTGCACTTTTTTGGGAAACGCCGTTTCTTTAAGCCCCGTTTACAGGCATCCCAGACCTCCTATATATCCTATATTTCCTATAATTTGTATAAGATCCTATAAAGAGCCTATATTTAAAGAAAACCTCCTATATTTCCTATAAATAGGACGAGTGCTGAGTGATATATTTAGATTTTACACTGTTTAGCATATTTGGCGAAGGTAATAAAATGGTGCTCCCTTTTTTT